ACATTGGTCTCAATATGATATTACCATTATAAATCATTTGAAATGTATCAAATTCTCTTTTCAATGATGTCTCTTTCCACTCTTTTCTAATGGTTTTTAATTCAACAGTATTGCATTTAAGTGTGTATTTGATTTTTGGGTTATCATGGTTGATATGCATTTTTTTGCATTATTTTGTATTTATTGCTATTAAAGCTTATTTTAGTCATTTAGTTGATTAAAGTGATATGGAAAGTCATTTGTGAATTTATTTTTTTCTCATTTTTGTGTCATCTGCATGTGAATTTATTTTTTTCTCACTTTTGTGTCATCTGCATGTGAATTTATTTTTTCTCACTTTTGTGTCATCTGCGTATAATTTTGCTTGGTTATTCGAACCCTTTATTAAATCATTAATGAAATCATCAGAATCCCCCTATCATCGTACATCTTACAACTACATTAAAGCTGACTGGGACTCTTTCCGTGATTTTCTTCGTGATGGCCCTGGGTAAAAATCTTTCGTCTTCCTATTGACAAATAAGCTTCTTACATAACTTCGTGGATTCAGGCTGGCATGGAATCCTTTATTCCCTCTCGACGATTCCAGGTCAAGCCTCTCTCTTCTCCATGATTTTCCTCGCATTGTGCTGCTGCAATTGCCAATCGAAATCATTACTTCCATATCTATCAACAAAACAATTCTCCAGAAAACAGACGTCTGTTTATTACTGCTGGGAACCATTGTAAAAAGGTTTTGTCTAACGCCAAAGCCCGCTATTCTCAGATCATGAAATCTCGTATTTCATCACAAAAGTTAGGCTCTTGCGACTTCTGGAAAATTTTTAATAGTATCAATAATAAGGGCAAGTCTGTAATTCCACCTATTTTGTATGGTTCAGAATTTGTCACCTCACCTAAAGACAAAGCTGAATTGTTTACTAAGAACTTTTCATCAATATCATCTCTGGATTCCACTAGTTGCGTTCTACCTGATATAGCCGTCAAACAGGTTGATCCATTGCTTGACTTCCATATCACTCCAGCTTCTGTATCTAAAGTGATTTCCTGCTTAGACTCTTCTACAGTTTGCGGCCCCGACAACCTACCTGTTATAGTCTTGCAGAATTGTTCTCCGGAGCTGTCGTCTATCCTTTCAAAACTATTTAATAAGTGCTTATCAGAGTCTTATTTTCCAGTCTGCTGGAAAGCAGCATCTGTTATCCCTATTTTTAAAAATTCTGGAGAGCGATCCGATTCATCTAACTACTGTCCCATTAGTCTTCTTCCTATCATAAGCAAGGTTTTTGAATCTTTAATTAACAAACACTTAATTTCTCATCTTGAATCTCATAACCTACTTTCTGATCATCAATATGGATTTCGATCTTCTCTTTCTACGGCTGATTTGCTAACAGTAATAACCAATAGGTTTTATCGTGCATTAGATAAAGGTGGAGAGGTTAAGGCCATTGCTCTTGACATTTCTAAAGCGTTTGATAAAGTTTGGCATGCTGGTCTTCTCCATAAGCTTTCTTCTTACAGTGTATCTGGAAACATCTTTAAGATTATTGAATCCTTCCTTTCCAATCGTAGTATAAAAGTTGTCCTTGATGGACAGCGCTCTTCTTCTTATTCTGTAACCTCAGGGGTTCCTCAAGGTTCAATCCTTGGCCCTATACTCTTTTTAATATACATTAACGATCTTCCAGATATTCTCACATCTAAGGTGGCATTGTTAGCTGATGATACTACCATTTATTCTTGTCACGATAAGAAGCCAACTCCCTCTGATTGCTTGCAGGGGGCATCTGAGCTTAAAAATGGATCTCACTTCTGCTACAGCATGAGGCTCACAGTGGCTGGTGAACTTTAATTCAGATAAAACTCAATTTTTTTCAGCCAATCGTTATCACAATAATTTAGACCTTCCTATATTTATGAACGGTAATGTACTCGATGAGTCATCATCCTTCATCTTCAAGGATTAACTCTCACTTCTGATCTTTCTTGGAAACCTTATATCAAATCCGTTGCAAAATTAGCATCTGCTAAAGTTGCCTCTCTTTATCGAGCTCGACACTTTCTTACCCTGGATTCTATTCTCTATCTCTATAAATCTCAAATCCGACCTTGTATGGAATACTGTTACCATATCTGGGGCGGATCTTATAATGATGCCCTTTCTTTTTTAAACAAGGTGCAAAAACGTATTGTAAACATAGTTAGACCTGCTCTTGCAGCCAACCTTCAACCTCTGTCACATCGTCGTAATGTTGCTCCTCTTTTCTACAAATACTATAATAATGGGCATTGCTCTAAAGAGCTAGCGTCTCTTGTGCCATCTACTAAAATTCATTCTCGTGTTACTTGTCATTTAATTAAGTCTCATCCTTTTTCTGTTACTGTTCCTAAGTGCTCCAAAAACTCTTATTCGTCTAGTTTTTTTCTCGAACATCAGTTCTTTGGAATTCGCTTCCTTCATCTTCCTTTCCTGATTCATATAATTTGCAATTTTTTTAAGTCGTCTGTCAATTGTTATCTTGCTCTACAATCTTCATCTTTTCTCTTCCAGTAACTTCCGACACTAATTAGTGGTTGCTTGCAGCCTTGTTGGAAGCAAAGATGTATAAATAAATGATAATAACAAAAAATAAAGGACCCATTCTCATAAATACTTCCCTAAAACTACTTTGTTTTCTGATATTCAAAAAATGCATTACAACTAAATAATAATAATACCTTGATACTATTTGATTCCAATTTGAGAATTAATCTTTAACATGCAACTGAGTCAAATGCTTTTGAAAAATCTAAAGAAGTAATATCAGATGCCTCTTTCTTTAAGATTATCTAAATTTTCTAGAAGGTTTGTAACACAGCCTTTAAAGTTTCTAGAAGGTTTGTAACACAGCCTTTAAAGTTTCTAGAAGGTTTGTAACACAGCCTTTAAAGTTTTTAGAAGGTTTGTAACACGGTCTTTTGCTTTTATAAAGCCATTATGATCTTCATTTATTAAATTGTTGTAAATAAGATGCTTTTCAATCATATCTATATCTTCTACATTATTGTATCACTGACAGCTCTTTCCATTAGCTTGAAAACAGTTAAAGTTAACAAAATTTGTATGTTGTTGTCAGCATTTAATTGATTTCTTTTTTTAAATAACAGTGTAATGTTTGCTTCTAGCCAAAGTTTTGGTAGTGTTCCTGATTTGTGTGATAGATTGAAAATAATACTCAATGGCTGGCTAAGACATCCAATACAATTATTAAAGACAAATGGGTGAATTTCATCACTTTCTGGATATTTATTTACATTAAATTTAGCATCGGTTTCTATATCTAATTTATTGAAAATGGGTTCAGACAAACTGTATTTGTTACACTTTCACATAATGGAATATCCTCAAGATTTTCGTTTGTACATATAGAACAGAAGAATCAAATGGTTAGCTATAACCTGTTTGTCATTAAATAACTTGTTATTATAGGTAATAGGTGACCTTATGTGATCACTTGTTGTTATCAGTAATAAGTGATCATATGTGGTCTCATGTTTTAAGTTTACTATTAATTTATTTGTAAATTTGTTTTAGGTTATTATGATTCTACTGCAATCTGCACTTTTGACAAGATTTTTCTCTTTTATTTTTTTACTTTGTGTTTTTGATTTAGTTATTTTTAAAATTGTTTCGTGCTTAATTCATTAATAAAAAGTTTTGATTATTTTCAAAGTTGATTTTATTTTATTTGACTTTTAGTATACATATAAAAATGCGACATGATGCAATCATAATGTCGCATGGTATTGAAGTTAAAATAATGAACTTGATGACTTCAATATACGAAATGGGTTTACCATCAAGATTAAATCAAGATTTTTAAAATCATTTGCTTATAGTTTAAATTTGAAAACATTGAACTAAGTAAGATTTCTTAACACAGTTGATAAATGATTTTTTTGGTCCCATATTAATACTTTGATGCTCATTGTTCTATTTGCTATTTAATAATGATAAATTAAAATTACATTAAATCCAAACATCGGCGTGTTTTACCAAGAATTTTTTCTATTAATTGCCTAGGACTAATTTGGTACTTGTTCAACACCTCAGTTATTTTCTTAAGTTTTTCTAAAGATATGTTGATATAATAAATGCAATTAAATGTGCTACTTTTTTTTGATGAAGGAACGTTGTTTTACTACTGATTGTATACCAACATCATCTTTGTAATTTAATCTGCATTTCATTAAGTTGTTTATTTTCAATTATTAATCATGTTTGTTATTTTGATGAACACTTTTGTATATTTCATTTGCTCTCATGATATTTCAAAAGCAGATAAAATTTGTTATGCTTTCATCTTTCTTAGAATTTATTTTTCTGTTATGAATGAAAAATTCAACATTCCTTTAAATTTTTTTCGTTACTGTTTACTGCTGTAAATCTGATTTTTAAGTTTAAGCATAAAAGTTTATATCTTTGAATTTGTTTGCTTCTTTATAAACTCTATTAAACCTAAACTAAATCTTCATAAAAATAATTATTTTAGAAATCGTTAAGTTATCGAACAAAAATTAGGAAGAAATGAATAAAGTTTATTTAAAAAAGTTAATGTTGTCTTATCTGCAAAAACTGTGGGGAAAAAAAGATAAAAAGCAATGATTTTTTTAGCATTGCAAAGTCTTTTTAAAAACATTTTTTTAATTGTCTTTTTTGCTTTGATTTTTTTTAGTATGATTAAATTGTTAAGTTTTTAATCGATATTTTTACCATTGTTTTTTTATTTTAGAAATATAATAATTAACAAAAATGAACTTTTATTTATTTTTTTACTGTTATTTTTATTATCTTAAGATACTCAAGTTAAATATTACTACTTAAGAGAAAAATGTATTATTTGTGAGAAAAATTTCATATAATAAAGTTACTACTATAACATTTAAAGTATACCAATTTTATTTTGACCGAATTCTTTGAAATTCGGTATAATAAAAAAATTGATTTTATTTTAAAGAGGGCTTACCGACGAATCAGAAATCATAAAGTTTTTGCAACACGGAACCTTAGTTGGATTGCTGCCGGTTCCACATCCAATATTGATTAGGAAATACCAGGTATATTTTTAAATTTAAGCGTTTTAAGTTTTAAACTTAATGTCAATTTTTTAAATTTCAAATTTTGTTTATAAAAATGGTTTTTTTTGTCTACAATTCATCATCTTATTATACCAGGCAAACAGTGGTACACAACTTTGGTTTCGAACTTATATGTGGGGAATCATCTACTTACGGTAAGAGACGTTAACAGTTAGTTTAAATCAGTATTTTTAAATTAATTTTTTTTTTGTAGTTTTTTTAAGCTAAACTATGCTTAACTCCTTCCTCCAAAATTTTCCTTCTAAAAAATGTAACAATACTAATTTTTTTTTTTCGATATGTTTTTACTGTGCCTCAGTAAGATTCATTAACAATACCTTAATTATTAATGGTATAAGTGGAAAGGAAGAGTTAAAAAGAAGGTAAAGAAAGTTGCAAAGTATCGTCACAAGTAATGAACTTTTTAAAATAATCCACCTATTTTTTTCAAATTGGTTGTTTCTATAACTTAGCGACTTTGGCAATAAAAATTTTTATTTTTCATTCTTAAATTTTTTAAGTTTTTATTGTGGCTTTCTTTTTCGTCGTTTATTCTCATAGTGCATTGTGTTAATTTTTCACTAATTTTTTTTTAACTAAATAATTTTTCACTGAATAATAATTTCGGTGTTCAGAAAATCTCTAAAAGCGATTTTAGAATTCAGGGCTATTGTTATTGATTCGGGGGACTCAAGTTAAAATGTTTTTTTTCCAAAAATGTAAAGTTTATCACTTGTAGCACTTTGCTTTTAGAGAAGTTTAGCCTAAAATATGGTGAGTTACGATAATTTTATTATCGTAATGACAGTCATTCCTTTACCCGATAACTAACACGTAAAGAATGACTACGTTACATTTTTTTTTACAATTTGAAAAAATGGAATAAGTTAAAGTATCGTTCTGCATCATACGATTGAAGAGTCCTAACAATGAATACTGTTAGATTCTTAGTTTTAATTTGAATTTGTCAACATTTTGAAGGTAATAAATTAATTTGTTTTTTTTTTTAGAAACATTGATCCGCCCATATGGTACGATACCGACGTTCGGCTTTTTGAGATTCAAAGAGTTTGATTTAAATGCATTGAATTTTTGCTTCAGCAAATTTATTTATTTTACAATATATTTTATTTATACTAGCTTTGCTTGGTGTCTAAAATAATTCTAATGAATTTTTGTTTTATGTTTTTTTACTGGTCCACAAGCTTACCTTTAAATGTAAAAAGGTGCGTTAGTAAGATTTTATTTCTAACGTTTAATTTTAACTAACGATCGTAATAAATTTAACGCTCTGTTGAGTTGAGGAATTTTGATTTATTTTTTATAAAAACCTATATTTTATTTTCGGAGACAATAATGAAATTTTCAATATTTTAAATATTTTTTTGTTTTTAGTCTTAAGCTGTTAATAGTTGGACTATTGTATTTATCAGCCCAACTATTTTAATGCGGAAAAAAGATTTTCATATAATTATTTTATTGTTCAAAGGGCTAAAATAAAAAAAAGACGGCGTCAAATATTAAAAAAGTTATGATGTTAAATCAGCAATATCTAACTCACCGGTGCTAAAAGAGAAGACGCTTTGTATTATTTTATTTTATACTGATTCGCAAGTCATCAAATGTTTAATTTTTTTTTTTTTTTTTTTTTTTTTTTTTTATGCATAAAATAAAACATCTTTTATAACTTATATAAAGTGCATTATTTTTCTCGACTAATATGGATGTTGATATAAAGTAAAGAGAGAAACCAATCGTTTCAGTACTGAAAATTATTCTGCGTCTTTATTGTAGCAGGTTACTAAAATATATCTGTAGAGATTGGAAAAAAGAGAGGCAGATTTAAAAGATCTCTCTTAGTCATTATGTTTTTCTGATGTGAAACTCCCAATACTATTTTATAGTACTTCATTAAATTACCGGCTGTTATCATTGCTACTTCTAATCCACATTTCCGATTCGATTCTTTTTAAAAAAATTTTTTATTTAATTTATTATTTTAATTTTATAATTTTAATTTATATATTTTAATTATTAAAAATTTATTTTAAATTTTTTCTGCTATTTTCAAAAATGTAAAAATCGTTTCTGTATTTTCGACCGTTTTAAACGTATAACGTTTTTAATGCTAACCGCCCGTACATCGATAGTGCCTTACAAAACATTACGTGGGAATTCGTTAGTGTGCTTGCCTTGCAACCTTTTGGCTTGAATGAGTAAAAAAAAGTAGTGGGTTACAAGACAGACAATAATACTTATGATATAGTCGAAAAAGTACATCATAGATAATTATTTATTTTTCTATTTAAAGTATACTTTAAATAGAAAGTTTTCCGCATCGTAATGTTTTTATAAAATGTTTAGCATGCCTGTTTTTTAATAGGCATTTATAGTTGACGTTTAAAACCAAAGTAATTTGTTTTAAAAAACATTTTAAGCTACTAAATGCGTTTTTAATACGTATTTGCGACTACCGGGTAAATTCTGTTCTTCTCATAATAGCTACTAGGGGATGCCGAAATTCTCCTTACAAGTTTTGCTATGTATGTGAATATTTTATTGGAAAAAGGAATATTAAATAAGTTCGTAAAAGGTATCAGAACAACCTTGGCCTCTCATGTGATATATTGAAACCTGGCAAACTATTTTATCAGTGTAGTTAAGTTGGCTCTATCGTTAAAAAACAATAAAAAATCAAAAAAAAATATCATGTTTTCTTATTCGAAATTTAATACAGATTTAGAAAATTTTTTTTTTTTAATTTTATTTTATTTGCTGTATAATATTATTTACATCAAGATTTATAATATTATACGGACAGGACTTCAAGAAGACCGTAATGATCTTATCACGAAGCCCTTAACAAAATTCTATTTTCTTCTACAATAAAAACATCTATATATTATATACAATAAATATATACCGAGAATATATAATCACTAAATATATCATAAATTTGACACTACATACTTAAGAAGTGAAACTCAAAATAAAACATAACAAATCATTATGCAACTAAAAATTTTTTTTTTTTTTTAATCAAAAAAAATCAAAAATATTTTTTGTTGAAAAAATGGTTTTTTTAATAGATTGTTTGAAAAAAGAATAGGTCAATTTAGATGAAAAAATAAAATTAGGCCGTACTATTTCATTCCAGAGAAAAGGTCCAAGATAAGATATACAAAATTGAGCTTGTTTATTATTACAAAAAGGTTTTTCTAAAAAGCTATTATTACGCAGGTTATATTTGTTTTGGGGTTTAATTTTGTAAAGGTTTACAAATACATCGGGGGACATAAGTTCTTTACATTTGTACATAAAACACAAAACATTAAATACATTTAGTTAATAAACATTTAAAACGTCTATTTCCTTAGAAAGCGGTTCAGAGTTTGAAAAACGATTTTTAAAATTTATTATGCGGGTTGCGTGTTTCTGATGCCGATAAAGAGATTTAAGTTTAGTTTTATGTGTACTTCCCCATATAACATTTGCATAATTGATATGACAGTGAATAAAAGAGTAATATAATTGTGTTAATTGCTTTTTGTTTAAAATACCTCTCGATTTGTATAGAATTCCAATGTTTTTTGCAACTTTATTAGAAATATTATTGATGTGTGACTTCCAAGACAGGTTTTCTTCAATAAAAACTCCCAAAAATTTTGTCACTTTTTTTCTTTTTAGAATGACATTGTCTATAAAAAGATTAGGCATATTTACAGGCAGTATCTGTTTTTTATAGTGTGGATGGAAAAGTATCCATTTTGTTTTTTCAATATTTAAAAATAGCCTATTTTTTCTGAACCAAATTGAAATTTTTTTAAGTTCTCTGTTCATATTATTAAAAAAGAAGTTTTATATTTTCATGTGACTGAAACTAGTTTGTGTCATCTGCAAAAATTATAGTCTTTAAATTGGATGCTTTGTTAAGATCATTTATATATATAATGAAAAGAAGTGGTCCAAGTATGGATCCTTGTGGGACACCATATGTTATGTTCAATAATGTTTGAGGTTGGGAATCTTTATTAAAAACAAATTGCTTTCGGTTGGAGACTTTTGAACCAACTTAAAGTTTTACCTGCTATGCCATAACAATCAAGTTTTTTAAACAAAATATTATGATCGACCGTGTCAAAAGCTTTTGGCAGGTCAATGAAAACACCAAGTGTAAAATTTTGATTTTTAAAAGATTTCTTAATATAACGTGTTAATTGAAGAATAGCATGTTCGGTTGAGTTGTTTTTTTTTATACCGAACTGATTTTCATAAAGGAGCTTATTGGTAATTAGGTATGTGTACACTCTGTTATACATTATTCTTTCTAATATTTTTGAAAAAACTGGAAGAACAGAAATAGGTCTGTAATTCGTTATATTGGTCGGGTCTCCTGTTTTAAAATCGGAATTACTTTTGCTATTTTCAGAGAGTCTGGGAAAGAGCCTTGTTTGATGATTTAAAGATTTTGTAAAGAATATCATTCATGACATAAAAGAGTCTATTACAATATTTCCATTTATATCGTCAGGTCCCACTGATTTATTTCTTTTTAACGATCTAAAAGCTGTATCAAATTCTTCAAGCGTTAGGTTTGTAAAATGTAAGGAGTTTGACGTTTGACGTTCATCTCTTAATTTACAATTTAATAAAGGGATTTTGTTTGATAAATTTGTTCCTATAGTGGAAAAAAAATTGTTAAATTCAGTCGCGATTTCATTAGAATCATTAGTTAATTTATTTCCAGTTTTTATTGCAAGTGGAAGAGAAGTTGAAATTACTTTTTGCTTTCCTGTAATTTCTTTCATAAATTCCCAGACGCGTCTTAAGTTATGTTTGTGCTGAATAAACAATTTAGAATAATAATTTTTTTTAGCATTTTTGCGTAGTTTTTCAAACAATTTTGCAATTTTGTTGATGTTTTTCAGATTTTGTTTTTAAGTATTTATTATACAATTTTTGTTTTAGTTTTGAAGACTTTTTTAGTCCCTTAGGAGATAATATGTCTTTTTTAGTCCCTTAGGAGATAATATGTCATGGTTGAGAAATCCTATGATTTATTGTAACATCCGCAAACCTTTTGTTTGCCCCGGGGTTGCCCCGGGGGGTTGCGGGGGGTGCGCATGCGCACCGAAACTCAGTGTCGGAGTATGACGTCAAATTCCAATGCCCAATACCCATTAGTTACTTAACGGTGACGTGGTTTATAACAATGCTGGAACACTCTTTTTTTATAGTAGATCACTTTTTATATAATCAGATTTTGCCATTCTGCTCAAATCTCATTGGTTCATCAAGTCACGTGCTCATTTTTAAGCATTCCCATTGGTCAGCTGGAACGCAAAAAGACGTTAAAACCAGGCTGGAACGCAAAAAATGTTTGGTTTATGTAAGCACATCATCAAGTATATCGAATTCCATGTTCAGTAAATGCCGTTTTGAATCATCCTTAAAACTTTGCAAAGTGCAGTTTAAAACGAAGTTTTGTTTTTTACTAAAGATTGGAAGAAATTCTTTCCAAACTAAAGGCCCCCGATATTGAATTTGGTACGAACTTAATTTAAGAAAGTTTATGGGAACCACAAAGTTATTCACTGAAAATTTGGTTGGATACTTATGGGAGATTTCATTAAAGTAGGATTGAAATGTTACTGGAGAAAACCCAAGTTTTGCTTTAAACATAAATATCATTACTTGATGAATATTAAGCTTATAAATATTTAAAGCTCCAAGCTGACGTAAGAGAGGTTCGCATTGTGTTTTTCTATTTGCCCCAAATACTATCCTGCAAGCATGTTTTTGTTTACTATAAATTTTTTTGAGTTTAGTGTGATTAGTGCTACCCCAGGAAAGGTTACAGTATGAAAGATAGCTGTGTATAAACGAAAAATATAAATTTTTTAAAGACTCGTTATTAAGAAAAGGTTTCGTTCGGTATAACATGGCAATATTTTTTGAGATCTTACCTTCAATATATTTAATATGAAATTTCCATGACAATTTTTCATCTAAGAGCACTCCCAGAAAGTTTGTAGTCAATTCCCTTTTAACTATTTTATTATTGATTAAAAGATTGGGTAGTTTAAGAGGAATATTCTCGGCTTTACTATGTTTATGGAATAGAATAAATTTTGTTTTCTCTACATTTAATGATAGTCGGTTACTTATAAAC